GTGTAAATAATGCTACATTAACCCCATCTGTAACTGTACCATTGCTTAATGAACCCTATATATTTTACTGAGATTTAGCCGTTTCACTTAAAAAAATGAGCAAAATCTAGTAGAGACATGACTGTTACCATTGTTAAAGCTAAACTTCCAGAAAAAAAGTGGTTCTTTCAAGCATTTTTCTATTATTTTTGTATTTCTGTCTATATAATCTTAACAAAACACACTGAAGGATTGTTTTTATAATGTGGCAGAAATACGGCACTGTAACCCAAAGCTGAATCCCTTCCTGGGAACATAAGTGGAGCTGGATAAATGTTGGTGTTGAACTGATTCCTTTTTGTTTAAGGCATATTTAAAGCAGTACGGCTACCTGCACATCCCACTGGACAAACCACAACCCAACCCTCCACCTGAGACAATACAGGAGGCTCTAAGGTGACGCAACATGAGACGACCATCCTTATAATCGGCTCCACAGTGAAATCAATCACATGTTTGTTAAGTTTCCTGTTTTTGTCAGAATCTTTCAGAAAGCATCAAACCTTCCAGTATCAGGAAACCTGGATTCAGCCACACTGACGATGATGAGGAAGCCTCGGTGCGGCATAGAAGATTTCTTCACTAACAACTCTCTCAAATACCGAGTCATGGGTGGGTATCTTTCCTTTATAAAACACATTCTCAGGCCAGTGAAATGTCTCAGCATTTACTCTGGTCCTTCCTGACCAGGTTACTGGAGGAAAAAGATGCTGACGTACCGGATTTACAACTACACCCCTGACCTGGGTGTAGCCAAGACCCGGCAGGCCATCCAGGCGGCTTTCAAGTACTGGAGCGACGCCTCATCCTTGAAGTTCAGGGAGTTATATCAAGGAAGGGCAGATATAAAAATCTCCTTTCACAGAAAAGACAAAACGTGCCCGGTGCCCTTTGACGGAAGAGGTAAAAGAAACTCATTGTGCAAAAATCTGTGTTTGAAACAGCATTGGAGGATGTGGTTTCTTCCCCTACAGGTCATGTTTTAGCGCACGCGGATGCTCCTGAGTCAGGCATTGTTCACTTTGATGGAGACGAACTGTGGACGGAGGGGAAGAGCTCCGGCTCCAACCTGAGGATTGTGGCAGCGCATGAGATCGGTCACGCTCTGGGTCTGGGTCACTCCCAGTACTACAACGCACTGATGGCGCCCATCTATGTTGGATATCGCTCTAACTTCCAGCTGCATCCGGATGATATTAGAGGGATCCAAGCTTTATACGGTACTGTTGATGCTGCTGATGATAAAACATGACAGCATTGTCACTTTGCATAGTTGCTCCCAGAAATGAGACCAAGTCTTTCCTTAACAAGTCACACTTCTCAAGACTAACTTCAAATTAAGTCCAAGTCCCATGCATTAAATTTCAAGTCAGTATCAGGTCTTAATGAGCAAAGCCCGAATAACGTGACCAAAAAAAACGATCTTAATCGATGAAATGTTTTCACTGTTGTTCTGCATTTCAAATTTTATTTTTTTAATATAACTATCAAAAATCTGTGAATTGAGTCTGACCTGAGTCAAGTCAATGTCCGGTGTTCTGTCAGACCAACATACCCATAGTCAATACGCATGCGCAAGATGTCAGATTTGCGTTTATCCCTTTAGCTCATATTCAGAATTCAAACTTCTGAAAGTTCCTTAAAAATGAAATGATTCCATCCTGTTCAATAAATGATCAGTGTTTTTAATTCAGAGTAATTTTCATGTGAATGTGCTTTACTGGAGGCATCCATGTTTGTCAAAGAACACTACTGCCACTAGGGGGTGTAAATCACATCCATCATGGCGATTCTATTCAGTATTGATTTCCTGACCCAAC